AATAACAATAACAATTAGTCTCCTTCCCATTACAAACACCAATGGCTAACAGTTATTTAGTTCCACCCAGATGCTCCTTATCTTAAGGTCCCTGCCGGAGTCAGCATTCTATCCTTATCTCTGTACAGAGGTGAGAGGCAAAAGCAGGGTCTAATTACAGATCTCGCGTTGTCAGGCCACAGACTTAGCCTGACTCTTGCTCTCTTGTTAACAAGACCAAGATGGCTGCACACAAATTCCCTTATTCCCTTTTCCTTCCTCTACAGTACATCTGATATGCAGGTCCTAAATGCTCATGGAGATTCAGTAAATTTCTTTGTATTGTGGTAGTGCTAGGGACTCCAATCACAGTCACTTTTTGGTGCCCACCTCTGAATGCTGGCTGTAGACAAATAATAGTAGGAATAAACTTAAAAAAACAACAGATAGTCTGGCAGCACTTCAAAGACTAACAAAACAGTGCTACCAGACTATTTGTTGTTTTTTTTAAAATTTATCCTGTACAAACTAACTCAGCTACCCCCTGAAGCTTCTAATAGTACTCAGGTCACAAGCCTACATGGTTCTTGAAAGACAACTGGGGCCTTCCTAAGTTATAAAACAATGTACATATATACACAGTTTTAAAATGGGTAAAGTATGGTAAAGAAAAGACAGTTCATGAGACTTGAGAACTGTGCAGTTCACAAACAAATTGGTAGAAACTAGGCCCACCGATGGGGCAGGGGAAGAGGGCAAAAGGCCAACTGCCCTGGAGCCTGGCGATTTAAAGGAGTAGCAGTGGCAGTGCTCCAAGCCGTGGTCCCTTTAAATCGCTGCTGGAGTGCCACACCGGAGCCCTAGGGTCACCAGATGGTCTCCCAAAAAATACCGGACACCTGAGCCAAAAAAAAAAAAGGAATGCGGGATTAGCGGCGATCACAACCCTGCCTCCCAGCTGGGACTCCCAGCCATTCCCCCGCCAGGCTTCTGACACGACCAGAGGCACCCAGCAGCGATTGCAGCCCTGCCTCCCAGCTGGGTCTCCCTGCTGGGAGGTGGGGCCACGAACACCGCTGGGAATCTGTGATTGCGCAGAAGCCTGGTGGGGACGGAGCCGCCCACGTCAGGCTTCTGTCTGGTGCCCAGCCGGAAAAATCAGAGAATACCAGACATTGCACGTGTCTGGTATTGCCTGATTTTTTTTACCAGGCAGAGGGTTCAAATACCGGACTGTCCGGTAGGATACTGGACACCTGTTAACCCTACAGAGCACTGGGACACATGCTCCAAGCAGCGGTAAAGGCTTGGGGGGAGCACGCTGTGCTCCGACCGGTGCTGGGGGCTGACTGCCCTTGGCCACACCCTTTCTGCTCTTGCCCATGCTCCTTCCTGGAGCAAGAAGCTGGTTCCCCCCTACCTTGCCTAGAGGCCCGCAGAGGCTGTCTGCTCTGCAGGCACATACCATTGATAAGTTTGATTAAAAAAGTAAAATGTTTTTAAGAATCAATTCACCACAAATGTTATGGAAAAAGTGGGTGGGATAAACATCGAACCACTTCCTCCAGTGTGAACAACACTAAAGCACTAATAATTATTTTTCAAAAATTCTTTATTATATCTGGAATATGTACCCCAGGACTCAGAATTGCACTTATTTATGGCCCAATCTAGCATCTGTTGAAGTCATTTGAAAGATGTCAACGGTATTGTGATTGGGCATCAGGAGAGGCAAGGCTGTACATCTTGAACCTAATTCCCTACTCCAATACACTGGTCTTATGCAGTGTAACTCCATTCTGGACAACAAAGTTAAAGGGGTAAAACTGATTCAGTGGAGTGAGTATTAATCTTGTGCAGAACAGAGAATTCTGTGTTTAGCAAACTGCCCCACATAATGGATTATTAATGTAGTTTTGTGAAATATAAGAAATTCTACATAAAAATGGTCACAAATAATATAGAGGTAGTAATGTGAAGTACTCAGAATTCAGCAAATACCAAAGCTGAGGTTGTCATGACCATAACTCTTTCTTTTTGTGCATATGATATATGATACAATCTGAACATATGCAATGATATCTTGGGACAGATCCGTGAAGACAATGTAGTTATGTCAATTTGTATCAGTTGACAATCTGACCCATTATTTTTTCTGAAAGACCCCTGCCTCATCTAATATATAGATTGCATGTTGAGTAGTGAAGAAAGCTGAGGGTTTGTTTTTGTTGTGTGTTTTTTTGCATGCATCTATGTAAAACCAAAAAAACTCTAAAACAAAAGAAACAAACAAAACCCTGAAAGGGTCAGCAAGTTCAGTTCCCTATGCTGAGGTAGGACCAAATAAACCTACACCATCCCTGATAGGAGTTTATCCAACCTCCAAAAGTGGGAATTAGACAGCCTTCCTTAGAAGTTGTCAGGCTGTCTGGAGTGTCCCGTGAATGTAGATGCCCACCTCAGAGCAGACTGTCAAGAAGCAGCACAAAAAACCCCAAATTGGTTGTATGTTCTATATGTACATTTCACAAACTTAACAAGTATGTACTGCACATGTTGCTAGTGCTTTTTATGTAGCCTGTTGTATAACTAGGCAAATACCTAGATGAATTGATGTACCCCCTGGAAGACCTCTGGATACCATCCAAGGATATGCATACTCCTGCTTTAGAATCACTGATCTAGCCTCACCGTGTGTTAAGGCTCTTAGGGTATGTCTACACTGCCACCCTAGTTCGAACTAGGGTGGCAGTGTAGACATACCCTAAGAGCCTTAACACACGGTGAGGCTAGATCAGTGATTCTAAAGCAGGAGTATGCATATCCTTGGATGGTATCCAGAGGTCTTCCAGGGGGTACATCAATTCATCTAGGTATTTGCCTAGTTATACAACAGGCTACATAAAAAGCACTAGCAAATTCAGTACAAACTAAAATGTGTACTGCTTTATATACTATATGCTGAAATATGTCTAATACTTACATTTCAATTAATTTATTTTATAATTATATGGTACAAATGAGAAAGTAAGCAATTTTTCAGTGATAATATGCTGTGACACTTTTTGTATTTTTATGTGTGATTTTGTAAGCTAGTGTTTTTTAGGTGAGGAGAAACTTGGAGTATGCAAAATAAATCAGACTCCTGAAACAAGTACAGTAGTTAGAAAGGGTTGAGAGCCACAAGACTAGTTGACCATTATGGTCCCGTTAACTCACTGGTTCTATAATTCTTTGGAGTTGCAGACAGTACCCCAGGACACTTTTGTCTATCTTGTCATTCAGGCAAGCCTGCCTTTGTGATAGATGGTTCAGTAGATCAGAAAGTACAACAGTATTTGGTTTACTCTTGGTACTGAAGGACCAGTCACATATCCCAGGTTAGTTGTGCTCTAGAGACCTCATTAAAGACAAAGTTTGTAGTAATAAACTAAATAAAGATTTATTAGCTAAGAAAAAAAGGGGAGTTATCTGTAAGGTTAAAGCAGGTAACCATACACACACACAATGAGTTACAGTCTTAGGTTTTAAAAGTTAATTCTGTTAAATGTGCAGGCATTTGGGTTGTGATCTTAGGCAGGAGGGGGTTGTGACCTAGGGTAAGGGACTGGAGTGCAGGAGGGAACGCAGGGGTTTGGGTTGTGACCTAGAGCAGGAGGTTGGGGTGCAGGGTCTGGAAGGGAGTATGGGTACAGGAGGGAGGACAGAGGGTTTGGGTTATGGGAGGTAGGGGGGCATGAGTGAAGGAACAGAGGGGTTGGGGGAAGGGAAGGGCTGTGGTTCCAGAGGAAGATTCTGGCCTGGAAATTTACCTGGATGACTCCCAGCCAGCAGCCCTGCATGTTTGTCAGGCAGGCTTCTTGCCTGCCCCATCCCTGCACATTCTGAAGGGGCCACGTGTGTCTGTGAATAACCACACACCTGAGGGGAGGGAGAGCGGTGCTTTGCATGCTGCCTGTTCTTCAAACAGGCAGCTCCCTTAGGCCAGAAATTGGCTGATGGGATTGTGCTGGGGTAGGGGCAGCACATGAAACCTCTCTCCCCCTTCTGGGCTTGCAGCTGTTTATTTTTGCCTAAGGCTCCCTGCTACATCGGCAGGCCAGATGTGGCCCACAGGCCATATTTTGCCCAGACCTGTCCTATATTACAAGTGAAATGAATGCATGGAGCAACTTACATACATTTCATAAAGTCAAATCACAAACACATCCTTATAAACTTAACATCTACTGTAACAAAACTAACAAACGGGTGACCCAGGCTGCTTTCTAACCAGGCATTTGTCAATGATGCAAGAGCAAGCATCTGGTCTGCCAGTGTCACAGAAGCGTGTTCCAGAGCTGCACTGACTTTATAGTTAGAAGGAGCCCAAGGGAAAATATTAGCCTCATTTACTTCACTGGTGCAAGGATTTCACCCAAAGTGTTTTTTTTTTTTTTGGTGATAGGTGCTCAGTAAATTACTTGTATTCCAACAGTTGACAGCTGCATGGATTTTTAGCAGCATGGATTGGGGCTCTTTTTTAATATGTCTATAAAATATCTTTTCTCTTTATTTGAAAATATGTAGGTTACAAGATTGCCACACGTTTAGGAAGTAAAAAAGACATGTGTATGTTTCTAGCCCTTCATATGGAGAATTCTCCAATGTGTGCTAGCCCATCTGAAAAGGTATGTAATGAGATGTCATTGCAAAGAGGTATTTCTTTTCAATACAAGGGGACCAACCCTTAAAATTACTGATAATATCAATGAATAGGTATCAACAGTAATTAATACTACTTGCTTTTCAGCCAGTGAGCAGGAGAACAGTTATATTAACAGTTCAGTTTCCTGACTAGATAATAGCTGAGATGTGATCATTGACAGCCACGATATCATACCAATATACCATAATTCTTAACATACCTGATAGTAGTACACTGGTGGGAGATATTTGGAACAAGGCTAGTATATACAAATCTTCTGTTTTGGCTTCCCTCTCTGTTACATGGGGCCAATAATGTTTACTTGCCTCCTTCTCAGGAATGCTGTGAAGACCAATTTATATTATATAGCTATTTAAAAATATAAAATCATCCTAAGTGTCAAATATTCTTTTTGTTTAATTTCCAACGTTCTTGTGCATAACATCCTAGATTAGCTAGTATACCACTTGTGATGGGGGAGGTCAGAGAAGACCCCTTGGGGCTGTTTCCCGGTGTGCTGATTATGCCACTGACACTCACCTTCTTGCTCTCTGGGGTTCCCCGCCACACTGTCTTGCTGGGCCAGATTCTCTGGTCCCCCCAGATAAGGCACAGAGTTGAGGTGACTGCCCCTCCTGAAGAGCAATGCAGACACTGTACCACTTCAGCTCTGGGAGAATGTAGTTTTAGAGCACAGCACCCAGGAAACCAATCCCCAAAAGGGGTCAAACCCCCAAATAAATGCATATCTTTCTCTGAGTAAAAGTTGTACACAAAGAAAGCTTATGAGGTTGTTCACCCTCTTTATCAATGAAAGAGAGCATATGCACAATGATTCCTCCTCCCCCCCCCCCACGGTAACAATTATTGACACTGGCCTTGATAGTAAACAAAACTGTTTTTATTAAGTACAAGCAGTAGGATTTAAGTGGTTGAAAGTGAAAACAGACAAACCAAAGTAAGTTATAAAATTAAAATAATAGTTCTCATTCACTAACATTTATTACAAACTTACCCTAAAACCTGTTGCCATTTCAGGCATGCTTTCAAGTCAAAGATAATCTTTTTCTTTGACTTGGGTCCCTAGCTCTCCATTTGGGTGTGCCACACCCACCAAAGACAAAGGGACTGATAGCTTCCTATTGTTTTATAGACTTTTCCTGGGCAGAAATCTTTTGTTCTCCACCCCCCTTTCCATGGAAACTTACCTGGTCAGACAGGTATCCCACTACAAGGTGTTATAGTCACGTGTCTTCCTAGAACCAACTACTGTTTAGACTTAAAGGACAAACAAGGCTGTTCTTAAGTCCTCAAGTTGATCACCCAGTTGTTAAGGCTGCTGGAGCACCATTGATGGCTCTCATTTGCACATTTAAAACCATGAACAATCCCATATTTCATATTTCTAACTATATACATGTAGCCCTTCTGCCAGGCCGAGTAAATAGCAGCAAGGGCCGGGTTCAATATCTAGGGATCTCCTCCCAACAAGGTAATACAACACTGGCTCGAGCCCCCACCCAGTGATCTGGGAAATCTTACATACAGCTCTGGGTGCCTCAAAAGAGGCAATTCTTCCCCTCTCACAAGCACAGAGCCTCAGTATAGTAGCAAACCTTTAATAACATGAGGTAACCGACATCAGCATTAAATTGGGGAAACACCAGAACTCGGATTTACAGACCAAACATGAGCGAAGGCCCTCCCCCCAGCCACAAATCCCCCCAAAGTCCCAAAAGTCCAACACCCCAAAAGTCTCTGCCCCAGGTCAGTGCCACCCCAGGGTTCAAAAGTTCACCCGGCAGGGTTTCACCATCCCAACCTGGAGGGGCAGGGATTGATACACCTTACGTGGCCCGCTGGTGGCTCTGCCGATGGCTCCGCCTTTCCGTGGGGTTCTGCCGCTGCCGTCGACGCATGTCACGGTGAGCTGCCTCCACTTTTATCCCCCCTGCCTCAATAACAGAGAGACTGGGGATCCCACAGTGGCCAAAGTGACCATTTGGGCTGCTGTGAGCACATATTAGACAGGGTGGGTGTGTCTATGCAAATTGGGCTCAGCCCCTGAAGTCTCTTTGTACCACTTGCCACAGTTCACCACCAGATGTCAGGATAGAGTTTACCTTGACCCCGCTTACATCCAAGAATGATATATACACCAAAATAAGACATACAGATCCAGCAGATAACATTAAATTGATAAGTTACAGGAGTTATTTTGTCCAAGTCATCTTCAAGTTATGCATATTTATATTCATAAACCAATTCCATAATGCATGTCAGGAACTTGTCATGCTACTGTATTTTAAAATAATTGAGCAACACATGAAACCCTCTAGCGTAGAGTATATGAGGGTATGTCTACACTACCCCGCTAGTTCGAACTAGCGGGGTAGTGTAGACATACCCTAAGAGTGCCGGAGTAGCTTTCACTGGTGGGGGAGAGGAACTATATGTAAAAACACCATACCAGAGGCTCAAATAAAATGCATAACTCAAGTAATTAAACAGTAAGATTATGTCTATACTGCAGCCTTCTTCCAAAAAGCTTATGCAAATGAAGCACCCTAGTCCGAACTACCTAGTTCGAGCCCCGTGTAGCCGCGCTGCACGGGGTTCAAACCAGCGGGGTTTTAAAAATAGAGGCTCCCCGCTTATGCAAATGAAGCCCGGGAAATTCAAATCCCGGGCTTCATTTGCAAGTGCGGTATGCCTACATTACCCCGCTAGTTCGAACTAGCGGGGTAGTGTAGACATACCCTGAGTTATTTCTTTCACAGAGCACATTAGAATTTTACCTTTAAGAATAATTTTGTTTGAACTTAATTTATTCACTAATTTCATAGGAAAGCCTAAGCCACCAGAAGAATTAGGTCCTTATTGTGCTGGATACTGTATAAACATAGGAGTAGTCTACATACACATAGTCTCTCATCCAAACAACTTGAAATCTAACCAATAGCATTGATGCCCCTGCCTTACTAAATCAATCACGGCTAATCTAATGCTGACAAAGGACCATGCAGAAATGATTTAGAACTTCTAAAAGTTATGCTTTCATTCACGCTCATAAATTTCACTTGAGGGTGTTGAGAAAATTGTGGGTCGATCTTGTTTGTTTGAAGCCATTTGGAGTTTCATCAGTGACTTCAAAGGCAACCTAATTAGGTCCATTCAGAAATAGCCTACACATATAAAGATAGTGAATTAATAAGAATAATGAACAAATCAATAAAAATATTCATAGAACTGATTGAGCAAAAAGACAAATTAAGTGCCAAAGTTTATCAGGATGGAAGAATCAATATACCTAAATACAGTGTAGCAAAATCTGTAACACATTGAAGTTTCTTTGTAACATATAGATGTGTGTAAAATAACATTTGTGGCAAATAGTAATATTCACTTTGTTTTCTTTCAGTTCAATAAAACTGGGATTGTTGTGTGTGAGTCAGACAAAATACACAAAGTGGTGGCAATGAGCTGCTCCAGAGAAAACTTACATGCTGTGCAACATGTCATACTGAACGTTCCCCATTCTTTGAGTAACTGCATTGTGTATTTGTCCAGGAAACCCTGTTCCACCTGTACTACATTTCTCATTCAAGGTAAATAGTATACTGATGAACCTATGGAAGTCAATGAGAGTTTTCTGCGTAAGGAGGTCAGAAATAAGCCCATACTGAATATCAGGTTTGAAAAAAACATTTTATCTTATGGTATTCAGTCCTCAAATCCTGATTCACACAAGTAGCCATTTATTCATGTAAGGTAATCCCTTATGAAATCAGTGAAACACCTTGTCTGGGAAGGATTTGCAGGCTTGGGTCATAAATGTAATTCTTGGGTCATGTAATGTGAGTTTGTGTCAGGAACCACTTATCAAATATGTCCAAAATATATAGCTCTCAGTTCTTACTGCCCCTGTCTCCAAAGACTGCATGGTAGAGCTCAAGTCAGTAGTGCAACGTTTGCTTTTATGTCCTCCCACTGCTAGACTGTCTAGGCACTAGGATAGTCCTTAGCAAAATGTTAGAACATTTAGGTGTAGGGCTAAGCTGGCCAGAGCTCCTTCTCTCGGCCATGCACTCTTTACTGGCCACAGACATGAAGGGTGTAATAGTAACTGACACTGTGATTCTGCAGCATCTGAAAATCCATCTTCGCTAGTGTAGGAATAGTCTCTGTGGCCAGGTTTGTGACTAGAATGCACCAACAGTATGGCTGGCTGCTCTGCAACAGAGAATTAGGCCCATCATTGTTATCAAGAAGTATTAATGACCCTATCTGGTTGAATTCTATTTTAAATCAGTCTAAATGTTTACCTTTAGGATCAGTTTCTGCAATCTATTACTGGCCAATCTCTCCAGAGCTAAAAGGGGAAGATTTAGCAGTCGAGGAAGATCTCAAGCAAGTTGACCAAATGTTTCTAAGAAGCCAAATTAGTAGCAGTGTTTTTCTACCAATCACAGACTTTGATACTGTATCTACAATTTCCCATAGAACCAAAAGGCACAAGTGCACAAAATGTAGTTCCCACTATGCCGAGGCTGTGCCTAAAGACATGTTAAAAATTTGTTCACTGCTTAATATGCAAGGCCATACAAGCATATGTGTAGAGCAAATGAAGAATGCATTATGTTGCCTGGATTGTTTACTTCATTGTCCCCATGGAGAATTTGAAAAAAAAGAAAATGATGACGTGGAAAAAATGCACACACATGCATTGCAGCTTTGTTATCTTTTAGCAGCAAGATCCGGTAAGTATACTGAAAATATTAAAAAATTAGTAGCAAACAAATATGAAAAACATGTATATATGTTCCTATAAATTTAGCTAGAGCTAAGCCAAATGGCATGTGACTAACAAAGGAACTGGCATGCTTTCCCAGCCCAGGAGTGAAATTAATAATTTCTCATTTCAACAAGTACATGTTATGTTTGTAGAAATTATATTGAGTAAAATATTTGAGCCAAAATAGACTTTTAAAAAATTAGTACAAGCAAAATTGCAAGTTTTGAAGCACACTATTATATTTATATTTCAAATTCCCAAAGGTTTGTTTAAAAACAATGAAGGTTGCTGAATGACAATGATGCCCTTTCCTGATATCATTTATGTAACCTAAGCAATGAATAACAAGGAAATGATAAGTAAATCTTGTGCTTTCTACTTAATAAATTTATACAAAAAGTTGTTTTAATCAAGCACAAAGAACTATATTTCATCACAACACAGTATCCATAATTCTGACTCCTTGGATTGTTGGTGTGTGTAAATGTTTATAATTTAGCTATTTTTTATTTTCATTATTTTGGCCCCTGAATATTTTCTTGTGATAGTGTCAAATGAAAATGATCAGTTTATATGTTTATAAATTTACTCATTTTTGGTAAAGCCTTGGAATAGCTATTTCTTCAGAATAATTCTGCATGTCATTTACCAGGAAAAAATATATAAAATTGTCCATTTGTGTTAAAATTATGTATGTAACTAGCCTTGCATTTGAGGTTAATCAACATACCCAATTATAGTGTACATATAATATTTTATGTTCCATTTTCAGGGTTTTGTATTATGTCATATTTTGAGATTGTTAGTCAAGCAATAATTTTATATTGGGTTGTTGTGTGGTGATAAAATATACTCTTCCTTTTGTGCTTTATGATAATAATGCCTCTCCATAGTAACAGTGTAGCTATCACTCTTTAGATAAGTCTTTAATACAGTATACTGTCAGTAGAAGTTCTTGTGGTAGTTTGAACAGGTCAATCCACTTATATATTGTTTCAATATTCTAAAGTTTTATACCTTAAGCCACTGAATAATATTTAAAGTCTAACCAAAAATGATACAAAATATACTTTTTCTTATAAAAGATGATCCAGATCGAGGTGTGGGTTGCACATTATATAATCAGAATGGATATTTTGTAAGTATGGTTAACACTTCATTCCCTTTCTTTAATTTTTCACTCTCTCTTGTGTGTTAACTAAGTATACCAATATTAGTACTTCAGGCTTTTGCCACTGCTATAATGACTGGTCACTGCTGCAGTAATACGGGTTGGACATCTCTTATCCGGCACTCTTGGGACCTGACTGGTCCTGAACCATGGAATTTGCCAGACTAGAAAAGGTTCCCATCCCTGTCACAGCCCACAGCTGTTGACTCTGCCAGCTCTGGGTATGGGGAGGAGAAGCAGGGGGACTACCTCCCACCCCTGCTAGGCTGCCTGCTGGGTTGCAGGCCCTGATGCTACTGTCATGGCTGGACTTCCTGCCATGCTCCAGCAGCCTGTACTGCCACAGGCTGTCACAGGCTCCAGCCCCACTCTGCCAGAGGCTGGCTCTGGCTCTGGCTCAGGTCCTGGTCAGGCTGCTAGGGACTGCCAAGGGCTCAGGTTCTGGTCCCAGCCCTATGGCAACCTGAGGGCTCTGGCCCCACTTCTGCAGGCTGCCATGGGCTTCAGTCCCACAGTGCCATGAGCTGATGGGGCTGCTGCCAACCTTGGCCCCAGTCCCACTGGTGTGGGCTGCCAAGGGCTCAGGCTCCTGCCCCAGGGTAGCCCACAGGCTCTGGCCCCACTTTTGTGGGTTGCCCGGGGCTCTAGCCCAGCCTGCACTGCCACGTTCTGTCGCCAGTCCGATCCCGTGCTGCTGGGGGCTGCCCCAGCCTGGTCCAGTGCTGCAGGCTGCTGGGGGCTTCTGAGGGCTGCTGCAGGCTCCAGCCCCACTGCTGAGGACTGCCACCAGCCCCACCCCTGTCCCGTTCCACTGCTTCAGACCGGCCCCACCTGGATTGCCTTCCTGACACTAGGCTACCGGGGTTCCTCTGATCCAGGAATGAGCATTCTGGTTTTGGGAGGTGCAACCTGTATACCTACCTTCTAGATAGTGCCTTCAGTATTTAGCCCTTAGTAAAGTGTGTAAGGCACAATAGCCCAGGGGAGCACAGGATTTTTTGGCTGCATTCTCAACCACAGCTGTAATACTATGGTAATGCATATCCTATCATTGGGCTGTAGAGATTAGAATATTGTAAGTGAGTTTATTTTATATCACAGTAACTAAATCAAAATCTGGCCTTGTACCTGTCTCACTTCTAAAAAAAAAAAAAAGGTGCCAGCACTCCATGGGAAAAGTTGTTGAGCTCTGACTGGAGGTGCTGGTACTGCGTACCTGGCAGTACCATCACAAAAAAAGCACAGCATACTGAACAGCTTCTTCACTGGGCCATGGTGAAAACTTGTTTGGATTTTGATGATAAAATGTTATTACTGAGTTTATAGTTAAGTGATTGAGAGCTAGGCTTCTGAGGGAAGGAAGGCTAGAAATGAGATTCTGAACATCAAAAGAGTGAGGTGCCAGGAATTGTTAGCTGCAAATATACAAAAAGAAGGTATGTATCTGTAAATGAACTGTATGTAGTATTCTAGAAACTTTAGATACTTTTATAACTATTTGTTTTACAAAAAAAGCACGGTCTATAGGTATATTATTAAGGTAGGCAATAGAAAATATTGTGATGGTGGAGGAATTCTGAGGTCACTGCTTGCAGGAAAAAAGTAGTGAGTAGTGGTTTTAAATGGAAGTAGTGACAGTGAGAAGCTTTCTGGCTGGTGCAGCTGAGATATTTAGTTTAATAAATTGGAAAAGCTACCTCAATACTTTGAGAAGCACTATATTAAAATAATGTGCAATATATTCACTAGAGGACTCTCAGAGGTGACACACATTGCTGGAGGAAGTACTTAAAGGTGATAAAGAAATCTAACAACTGCTCCATGCATTGTTGGAGTTCCTGCCCAGCCACTGTCAAAGTAGCCCACTGTCTCAGAGTCTTAATACAGGCAGTCCCTGGGTTACGTACAAGATAGGGACTGTAGGTTTGTTCTTAAGTTGAATTTGTATGTAAGTCGGAACTGGTACATATTGTAGGGGAAACTCTAGCCAAACATTTCTCCAGAGCTCAGTTTTATTCTCCTATACCTCACTTCCCTCAGTCCTTAATTCTCAAGCTGAGGTGTCTGCTGAGAAAAGCCGCTCCGCGTCTCTCTGGTCTGCTGGGGGGGTGCTAGCTTCGCGTCTCCCTGGTCTGCTGGGGGGAAGCAGCTAGTGCGGGGTTGCCTCACCCCGTTTGTAAGTAGGGATCCGATGTAAGTCGGATCCATGTAACCCGGGGTCTGCCTGTATATAATAAATAACTGAGCTTGAGATTAGGCACTGACCAAGTATTTAAGCAGAAAAACATCCCTAAGAAATAAATGTGATGTAACTATTGTATGTTACAAAATTTTCTTAAATGTGGAAGTTGTACATGTCCGGGAAGAGGGGATTGCATGCATTTCTATTTATCTTTACTTAAACAATGGTGATGTAGGTCTTATTTTTCTTAATCATTATTGTTATCTTACAGCTCTGTGAGGTTCTAATTTTTTTTCTTAGTTTGGGGCAGGTTATAATGGATATCCTCTTGGTGCAATATATGCAAACCTGCCTTGTGGAGGTAGGCACAACAAAAAAAAGCTAGGAACAGAAAAAGGGCCTGTCCTTATCCATGCTGAAGCAAATGCTCTACTATTCAGGTTATTATTGATTGATGTTTCTTTAAAGTAATTCAGTAATTTTATGTATGCTTGTTAGGAAAGTATATATGGCTGCCGGGGTAATATCCATGTGGTTAATTGTGGAGCCACCTCACTTGGTATCTGCCCCACAATTTATCTCTCTAAGAATGTTAACATTGTGCATCTTTAAGACTAGGCATATGCTGCTGTCAACATTTTAACAAAAGCCTCTTCAAATGCTTTCTACCATAAGACCTCATTGTTCAAGCACAGTCACCCAACATGCCTACCTGTTCTCAACAAAATGTAGCTCCCAGCACCTTTTGAAAGATTTACCTGGTAGCATCAGCTGTTCTTTAGGGGAGCAACAGCAGTGACAGAGAGGTTGCCCTGAAGACTCTGGTGGTAATGGTAGTGGCTGTCAGGTTACTTAAATCTGTATGTATGGGGAGCTGATGAGAGTAGCATGGCTATGTGCCTGTTCAGAGCAGAGACTGGCCGTATTTGGGTGAAAATGCTCTGCTTCCGTTGCCTAACAACCAGCAAATGTCACTATTCCCTGTCCAGGTACTTAACTGAGGTACTGGTGGAGAAGGAGAGAAGATGCTTTGGATGGCATTGCCAATACCATAGCAATAGGCAAATAGCTGGGTTAGGAGCAGTTTAAGGCTACCTAATGTTTAGATACATTAGAATTATGGAATTTTTCTGCCCATCAAAATAGACAATTCAGGTACACATGTGCCACTCAAATCCTTGATCAGAGATTTTCCATTCACAGTGTTGGTTTGCCCTGCATATGTATTCTAGACAACTTCATGCCATGCTCCAAGGGTATATAGGATGAATCACTTGCACTTCCTTCTCTACTACCTCTTCTTCACCATGAATCAGGATCCTTTGCAATACTGAGTATTTTCTGATCTTACAAATCGATACTAACTTCCACCCAGATGTCTCTCTCCCTCTTCCAGGAGTTGGGTCTCCTGCTAAATGTAAAGAATTCCAAGTTATTTTCTGTAGAGGGGCATGCACAGGGACATGTTTGGATTTGTTGAAAGCCAGAGCCTTCCTTCCAGAGAGATTCACAATGTTGTCAAATTTGTTGAGACAATTCAAGAAAGCTCCCTATGTAAGGAGCTGTTCACAACTCGTGTTTTTATGATAGCTTAATCTTCATGACCAAGCATGCAAAATTATGCCTCCACTGCTGTCAGGGCTGGTGGATCTGCAACTGCACGCAAAGTTCTTGCTTAAGGTGCTATTAGATTTCCATCTTAACTAGTTTATTCATCTACCGATATTTTTTTCCTAACCATATACATCTCAGTGGGTGACTACCCTTCATATGTTAGATGTATGATGTACATTGGACTTTTATCTAGATAAGCAGAACAGTTTTGAAAGTCACCTAAATGCTTTGTCTCCAGAGTGGACAGATCAAAAGGTCCACAATTTCTTCACAGAGACTGTCAAGATGAAAGTTTGGGTTTGTTAGTATTTGCTGTGTTGCAGCTGGTGCTTAGCATCCCCAAAAGATTATAGCACACTCTGCCAGATAACAAGCAACTTCCACAGTGTGGCTTGCAAACATTCAAGGGACTGTGGTAGGCAGAATTTCTACCTGGATTTCAGTGCACTTCTTTGCTAAACACTACGTATTGATCCATGCAATCAGAGCTGATGCAGCACTTGGTTCTTGCCTTACTATCTTCAGTCTTGGACTTGATTTTGAAGCTCCCTCCTCCCTCTGAGGATACTGTTCAGGAGTCACTTGACATGGAGCACTGATAGAAACACTACTCGAAGAAGAAGAAACGGTTACTCACCTTGTTCACTAACTGTGGTTCTTCAACAGGTATCCCTTTATGGGTGCTTGTAACAAGGTGTGACTTATCGCCATGAGCGCCTCCTGGTGGTCCCTCAGGAATTAGCTCATTCAGCTCAGGCGTGCCCCCTTCTATCTGTCTCCGGCTGTGTCTACACTGGGCCACTTATTCCGGAAAAGCAGCCGCTTTTCCAGAATAAGCTGCGAGCTGTCTACACTGGCCCTTGAATTTCCAGAAAAGCAACGATGCTCTACTGTACAAAATCAGCCGCTATTCCGGAAAAACTATTCTGCTCCCGCTCGGACATAAGTCCTTATTCCGGAACACTGTTCCGGAAAAGGGCCAGTGTAGACAGCCCAGTAGTCTTTTCCGGAAAAAAGCCCCGATCGCGAAAATGGCGATCGGGGCTCTTTTCTGGAAAAGCGCGTCTTCATTGGCCACAGATGCTTTTCTGGAAAAAGGGCTTTTCCGGAAAAGCAGCCTGCCAATGTAGACGCTCCTTTTCCGGAAAAACTGAAAACAGAATAGTATTCCGTTTTAAGCAGTTCCGGAAATTCATGCCAGTGTAGACATAGCCATCTTGTCTGCTTTTACCTGTTATTTTCTATGTCTGGGTACTGCCTTATCACAGTGCCCCCACACTCTGGGGTCCTCTCCCTCTGGGAACCCCTAACCCCATCTTGCCTCAGTGATTCACTACGAGTTGTCATCTAGCCCCTTTTCTCAGGGGCAAACTACAGTCTGAAATAGCCATTCATCATTGGCAAGGGGGTGTGAACCTGTTGCCTTTGTGAGGTAGATGGTCACAAGGGCCACAAGATAACACTTTGGTACTGGATCTGAGGTGAAGGGTGTCTGAGGGCTGTATATACCTCTCACTTATCAGCAAAGGGTTAGAGAGCAGCTCTGGGCTCAGGAGGCCCTACCCCTCTGCCTTTGCCAAGCTCATGCCTGCCAGAGATTGCAACTACTAGGCAGAATGACCCCCAGAGGTAGTGACCACTAAGGAGTGGACATTGGACTTGTTCACATAGACACAAAAGTTGTGTGACTTACTCAATACAACACAGGGAAGCACTGTTGGAGCCAGAACTAAAATCCAAATTTCCTGGTTCCAAATGTACTACATTATATTGCTCTCCAATATAACTCCATTGATTTACCCCGGAGGGCACAGTGAAAGTATGATAAGACTGTAAATCCAACAGCTGGGGGAAGCATGGGAGCTATAAATGGCCTAGTGTTAATTTATGGCCATTTTCTCTGTAGAAAAAAAATGGAGTACAACAATGAGACTGGAATGGTTTTTGTTAAGACAATAAATTCATTACTGTTGTAAATAAACACAAATATTTATGTATAAAGATGAGAAGCTCAAAGATAAAAAAAATATGAGATGGGAAATCTGGGATAGAGAGAAAGCCCTAGGATTTATCTGGGGGATATCTCAGTATGATCTATTCATTTGTTTTCACAGAGAATAAATTGTGCTACTATATTTTTTCAGATTTAGAAAAAAACCAGAAGAGAATGATATTCTTTATAGCAGCAAACCTCCCTGCCCTGAATGTCAGAACTATATACAATATGTGGGCATAAAGAAAATTATTTCTGTACAAGAAGCATCAAAGTCATCATCAAGCCAACAAGTAAGCTAATGTAATACAATTACCTTATTGCAGCAGTTCTCAAACTATGGGACAGGACTCCAAAGTGGGTCATGACCCTGTTTTAATGGGGTCCCCAGTGCTGGCATTACACTTGCTTGGAGCGTGGGGCTAAAGTCAAAGTCTGAGCCCTACTTCCTAGGGCTGTAGCCATATCCCGAGGGCTTCAGCTCTGGGTGGTGGGGCTCAGGTTACAGCCCATTCCTCTGCTTCAGGCTGAAGCCCTCAAGCTTTGGTTTTGCTCCTCCCACCCGCCGCCCAGGATGGTGGGTCCATGCAGTAATTTTTGTTGTGCAGGGAAGTTTGAGAAACCCTGCTTATTGTAATTTTTATTTATACATTCATGTGATATTCAATGCTATATTGTATTTTCAATTTAAAAAGTCCTACGGATCTGTGCATGCCCTCATAAGGTCGACATAGTAGAGATACATGGAACATCCACTGTAAAAACACCTTCAACATATTTCAACATCCATAATTGTACAAAGGTATGACTAAAGCAATGTGCCTTTATGACTTGCAATGTGCCTTTAAATCTAGATTCTTGTGGCGCCATGAAGGGAGTAAGTGCTACATTCTAGGACTCCCCCACCCTGAGAAAGTCCAGTCTTCTGGAGTTTAGTCCTCGGGGCTGACAGCAAAACCCCCCACATCTGAACTCCTCTATCCTCCTTCCACTTCCCATGCTTTGGTCTACTTTGAAGTTTGCTTTTTCAGATCATGTGTATTTCCAGACCCATCGGTATGGTTCATTGGGCAAAAATCACTAGAACTCAAGAAGTTCTCTTTGGGTATGTCTACACTGCAGTGTTATTCCAAAATATCTTATTTCAAAATAGTTATTTCGAAATAGCTTATTTTGAAATAACGCATCTACAGGCAGTCCCCGGGTTACGTACAAAATAGGGACTGTAGGTTTGTTCTTAAGTTGAATCTGTATGTAAGTCGGAACTGGCGTCCAGATTCAGCCACTGCTGAAACTGACCGCCAGTTCTGACTTACATACAGTGTTATTCCAAAATATCTTATTTCAAAATAGTTATTTCGAAATAGCTTATTTTGAAATAACGCATCTACAGGCAGTCCCCGGGTTACGTACAAAATAGGGACTGTAGGTTTGTTCTTAAGTTGAATCTGTATGTAAGTCGGAACTGGCGTCCAGATTCAGCCACTGCTGAAACTGACCGCCAGTTCTGACTTACATACAGAATCAACTTAAGAACC